TCTCAAACGGTTTTAGAGAAAATGCTCATACCGACGTAATTTACACCGATTTCAGTAAAGCTTTTGACAAAGTATGTCACTCGTTACTCATCCGTGAACTCGACCTAATCGGCTTTCAGCCCAGTCTTCTTCAATGCATCTCATCTTACCTCTCTGATAGAACACAAAGAGTTATTGTTAATAATTGTTCTTCCAACATCATTAAAGTTTCTTCAGGAGTTCCTCAGGGAAGCTACCTTGGTCCGATTCTGTTCCTGATATTCATTAATGATATTTCTTCTATAATAAAACATTCAAAAATTTTAATGTATGCCGATGATGTGAAACTTTTTAAAACATTGTCCTCTATCGAAGAAAGGTCCTTGTTACAAGCGGATCTGAACAACGTGGTTAGTTCGTGTAATACAAACTATATGCCACTAATCCTTCAAAAATGTAAAGTTATGTGTTTCTCTCGGAGGGCTGTTCAACCAGCTGTTTATTCAATATCAAATTATAATCTGGAGCAGGTATCCAATTTTGTCGATCTTGGTATCACAAACTCAATTTCAACCATCATATTAATGTTACAGTCAATAAAGCCAAAGGCGTTTTTGCATTTGTAAGGCGATGGTCAAAAGAGCTCAAAGATCCTTATGTTACAAAAGCTCTTTTTACCAGTTTAGTTAGACCTATACTAGAATACGGATCTATTGTTTGGAATCCCCGCTACCAAGTTCATTCAGAAAGGATTGAATCAATTCAAAAAGAATTCTTGCTTTTTGCATTGCGTAATTTTAACTGGGATTCAGATTACAATCTCCCCCCCTTACAGAAGTCGTCTAAAGCTCATAAATTTGCCTACACTCGCAAGTCGTAGAGAAATGCTGGGTATAATATTTATCGTAAAATTAATGACAGGCTTGATTAATAGCCCGGCCCTCCTGGCTGAGGTAAATTTTAATGTTCCTTCTCGAGTGTCAAGACACTTTCGACCTCTATTTTTAAAGCCATGCAAAACTAATTTTTCTAAACGAATCATTCCGTGGTTTATGTCAAGATTTTAACTGTCATTCCAGCACGTTTGACGTATCGGACTCGATTTTTACTATAAAGAAAACTATTATTTCCACTCTCAATAATTGAAATACTATCTTTAGCATATCCAATCAGCTGATGAATTTGATTCTGTAGCTGAATAGTTTTAGATCTCGACACTTAACAAACTCCTGTTTCCACTACTCGGCACCAAAAAAATAAACACAAAAAAAAAGAAAAAAGGTTCCGTACGTCATGCGCCCCTCATGTCGGTTGGGCGGGAATGGAGGGTAAAAAGCCGTTGGGATTAATTAATTAAAATATACCGAGCACTACATATATCCTCCACAGTGGGGCTCGACTAAACCACGGATTTCGACCTGGTCGACCACGCCATCTGCGCTGGCTCCTAAAATAACCTTTGTGACAAGCAGCCATCGGTATTTAGAAGTAAAATATCTAAACAGCGGATAATTACAACAGCTTGTTCCAGAAGTCGGCGTATTATCACATTCCGTAGAGCGCGAAATTTGCAAATATCTTCTATCAAGTCCATGCACTTTTCATAAAGAACGACGAGATTAAGATCTCAACTGTAATCACCAACAAAATCCTTGGCAGTTAGGGAAGATATAAGGAGACCCTTCTAGTCATATATAAATCCATCGGACGGTAAGTAATAAACTAGGCTACGTCAGTGTGGACCATAAGGAACAGCGACTCTCAATTGACTCTCTACTAAACCTACCCACATGCCTCACAATGAGGCGAAAATGCTTCAGGTTAAACGCTACAACAGGGTTATTTCTAATCATTGTTTGTTCAGCTATAATTGGCAAAATACCCTAAACATAACCTTATATTGTAGGCAGAACGATGTCACCGCGCTACTCCAGCAGATATGTAAGTCAACTGGAAGGATATAAAGTTAAGCATGCGATAAATACACTGAATCGCGAGAACTTACTTTATCGCGAAGCGGTGGAAATCGTCATCTCCACTTTTCGTAAAAGCATCGTACTTGGAGGCTCTCAAAATGGTAAACACAGGGGAAACGCGAATTATTATAGTCCAACTCAGATCTCCCTGTAGGCTAAACTTTTACAAAACCAGTATTGAGCCGGTGATAGCAGACCCATGCCTAACATTCGCAAACCATCCGCACAAATATTCGCATCTCTTATAAGAGAAATGACGGCCTTTAACTGATGCAAATTAATTTGAGTTCTCGACTTTTTACGGTAGCACGAATTCTTCCGGTACAATCGAAGACGTACTGTAGGAAATATTAAATAATCTTTGGATGAACTGACAGCTCGATTCCGATGTCTTCCGAAGTAAAGTATTTAGGTTTAATCCTACTCCGAGCAAAATACCTCCAAAGCCTTAACATCGTCCTGGAAATGTGACCAGTCCTTTGGTAAAACGTAATTAACTATGCATCTGTGGTGTGGTAGTGTAGACCTTTAATCAATAGCGTGGGAAATATGCTTGCGCCAGACTTCAGAAACAACGGCAGTGTGATCTACGACAGCTGTTTCTACAACACCCGGGTCTGCTGTGAATGCAGTGCTAAATTCACCGTCACTTAGTATTTTTTATCCGAGGGGAAGTCCTTAAGGCCACCTGTAGGCTTAAAAATTTGAGTGCTGAGTTGGAGGCCCCCATTGTGATGGAAAGACCAAATGGAGAAGGACTTTGCTTCTCTTGAAATTACCAACTGGCGTCAGTCGGCACAGAACAGAAGCGACTGGCGTGCTTTGTTGAACTCGACCAAAATCGCTTAGGTGGTTACAGTGCCAAAGAAGAAGAAGAAGAAGTTATGGTACAGTGTGGAGTGAGGCGGAAATTTCTGGAGGCAGAAATTTAGATTTGAATGTCTTTTTGATTCCACAGGATAGTACATCACCGTGGGCTCTCCTGAAGAGATACCACAATGTCGAGTCCCCGGTGTACGTTTTAGTACCTTTTCCATCGTTTTATTTTTATCTGCAATACGCCCACTCCGTAAGTTTGTGGTCTTCTTAAAATTAAGTAGGTGAACGATTTGAGTTAATTCTTTTTTTGGTCAATTTGGTTACGCCAAATGCCTAAAATGCGAGTGAAACCAACTCCACACTCTTCGTACTTTTTTTTAAAAAAAAAGCCTGGCTTTCAAAATTTATGCACGTCAAACACTTAGCCATATATATATATATGTATGCAACCTTCTGCACATATTTTTAAGTACGTACATATACGTCAAGTGCATTCACACTCAGCGCGCGCTTAAGAAGTTCAAGTCGAAATTGTTAAAAAGCGGAATTCTGAAAGAAAGTAGGTAAACCACAAAGAAAATAATCAATCTGAGCCACTTTATGCGCTTAAATTGAGCGGTTTCGGCTTGAAGAAGCGCTTGCAACACACACACACACAACCGGATACACAACCACATTTAGTTAGTTAGTATGTACGCTTGCAAGTTGAGGCGGAACGCAGCTCAGCGCTAGATT